GTCTTCTGGTTTCCTTAGATAAAGAACTTTTACTAATTGGCTTTTTCTACATGTGGATGTTTTGTTCAGTGCCCTGAGTGCCTTCTGTTGTGATGTGGCGCTATGTAAATACATTAAATTGAACTGGATTCATAGTGTGTGCATAAACTGCTGAGACATTTTGGAGATTGTTAATTTAAGATTGCAGCAATCCACTTCAGTCTAAGCTGTGTTTGGACTAGCCATTAGCTTGTTAATCTGGTCAAAGCTAATGCTTATTTCTTCAAACTGAGGTCGTTCAAATATTTATCTACAACAGGTAAGATAATATTGGTTCATGGCTTTTCCCCAGAACTGCACTTCTAAAAATATTGTCAAGGATATATTTTCTATCAGTTTTTATCAAAATAAATAATTATTTTACTGGACTTATGTTGTTTAGTCAAGCTGATTAAAACACAAAAACAACACTGTTCACACAAAGATGACTAAAACTAAAACAAAGACTTGTAGTCAAATAAATTGTCTGTTTTAGTTTTAAACGAGGGTTCTTTACTGGATGAGCCTGGACATAAATGTAACTTTCTGGTTGTTTTACAGCAGAACAATAAATAGATTCTTTGTCTGAAGTCCTTGTGGGTCTTTTTCATTTCAAGTGATGCTGAAGTGACGTGCACCTCTGCAACAAACTGAGTCAAGCTATGATTTGATTGAATCAATCATTGTTGTCTTCCCTTAGATGCCTTCAAAATAAATTAAATGTTGACGTAAGTTGAACGATGTCGAAGATCTGCAACCTTTACAATCTCAGGAGTCATTTTTGTTCTCTGCTACCAAATAAAAAGTGTTTTAAAGTCACAAATCCTACACGACTCAAAGTAAAGCTGACATTTTATGTAACGTTTTTTACAGGGCTTAATTTGAGCTGGATCCTGCCGGAACAAGATCCAGGAACGCTCTTATTTTGGAAGGGTGCGTTCTGGAAACTGTTTGCTGGGATCCCGTAGCTCAAATCTCCGCCCCTAAAAGTCCAAAATTGTTGCACACTTTTATTAAAGAACTTAAAAATGTAATTAAACAGCACAAATAAATTGCAAATCAGTTTGACAGTTTAAATGGCTCATTAATAAAATTTTGATTATTTATTAAAAATACAACGAGAGAAATGCTTGATTTGTATTATGTGTATTCAGACTGAAGAAGTCTTTTGGATGAAAGACAAAATGTTTCTACAGTTTTTTGAACCCATCCAGAGGAACTGACTTAACTCTTTTAGGTTTGATGTGTATTATTCACATTGTGTCACGTATCAAAACAACAATGATAATTATAAATATGTCTAAAAGACAGTCCAATTTACTTTCATTTAAAAAATAGAGCGGGAGCAACAATGCACAGGACTGAATTCAGTGGAGAAGAGTGGCTCTGAACCGTGAAGTGAAGGGAGGGGGGCCGGGGTTAGGATGCTTGACAGAAGCGGAGCACAAGGAGAGAGCTGCTGTTGCTCTAATAGTTATTGAATAAAGAGTTTACAAATGTAGGTAAACGTAAATGTTTAACAGCCTGTTAAAATACACCAGAATGCAGGAAATGGCTTCTACTTTATTCAAAAATTTCTGGGGGAGGCCCCACAGACCCCCCTGTAACCCCTGCCCCGCCCTCCCTCCCACTATTTGCATTCGGACATCGATCAGTTTAAACATTAAGCCCTGGTTTTATATCCAGGTTTCCTCCCACAGACCAAAAACATGCATGTTGGGCTGATTGGTGACTCTAAATTGTCCCTAGGTGAGAGAGTGAATGGTTGTTTGTCTTTATGTGTCCCTGTGATGGACTGGAGACATGTCCAGGGTGTCCCCCGCCTCTCGCACAGTGACTGTTGGACATGGGCACCAGGGACCCTGTGACCCGAAAAGGAAGAAGCGGGTAAAAGAAAATGGATGGATGGTTTTATATCCAATGTGGACAGTAAATGAACTTTTAATTACTATTTTTACACAGTGACAAATAAAAGTAAACTTGACACGATCACTCTTCTAGGTAAGGGACTTTAAATATAATTTGGATTATTTAAATTTTATTATTTTTGTGATATAGTATCTAGTTTCTCTCCGTTATTAAATCCTTACACACCTGTTCCTCATCCACAATCAGCACACCTGACTCCAATATTCATGCTCCCTGGTTTTCTTTGTTTTATCTTTTCTGATTTTTAACAGGTCTTACTTCCTTTACTTTAGTTGACCTTTTCATGCTGATTACTTTATTTCCAGTTTTTTGTTTGTTTGTTTAGGTTTAGTTTTTTTGCTGTCTACATTTTTGATTTGAACCACACTCTGCACCACCTTGACAAGAAAAAGCACTTATGTCTGTTCTTATACACAGTTTGACTCTTACCCACTTGAATATTTTGCAGAAAAACATCAAGGTTTACTAAAACATCATCTCAAAAACTGCAAATATTCATTATTCATCATTCCTTTAGCGACGAGGGACATTAGTGTACGGCTTGTTGTTTGTGGAATTCTGCTACATACGTTACATAAAATACCATTATCATTTACTGATTCCAATATAAACATTTTTCACGAGATTTATTTTGTCAAACCTAAAGAAAGTGTCTGTAAAGGTGCTGCAGACCAATGAAGTCAGTGCATTCAGGGATTAAATTATGATTCTATTTTATTTTTACTGAAGCTGGCCTTTGCCCTCTTTTGATCTTTTCTTCTACGTTCATCCTCAGTTTAATAGAGACCTGCAGGCTCTTACAGATCTTTGAACTCTGCACCGTTTGAAAGTTGGAAATAAACTTCTTAGCAGCTCCTACTCTGAGGTCCCTCATCAGCAACAAGTGGAAAGGTCACGCAGAGTTGTTCTATTGAAGGAAAAGGGTTTTCTACAGGTTATACCTTTGTGTTTGTGTATATACTGTGTGTTTGCATGTTCTTTCAGCCCCCCTCAAAGTCAACACTGACCTTTCCGATGTAAAGCGGGTCCAGTCCGGTGTATTCCTCCAGGACAAAGAACTGATTCCACACCCAGCCTCGTCTCACCCTCTGCAGCAGGGCTGAGCTTCTGCCGTCTTCCTCATCGGCTGGTTTACCCATGAGGCCGTGAGGCAGAAGGGTCAACATGTTGAGGCTCAGAAGAAGCAAAGTGTTGGCGATAGCTGGAGGATGCAGCCGGAGCCCCATTGTGAGGTAGAATGACTCTTCACCTCCTTCACCAGTCGTTAGTTCCTGGTTCCTGTCTTCTGAATGCAGCAGGCGTTCTAGGAAAATAAAAAGGACAGATGAGTTTAAAATATACGTTCCTTTGACTTCTGTTATCTTTTTGCTGAAAAACCTGTGAATTATGTAGTTTTCAATATTTTTCAACACAGTTTAGATGTCTGAATGTGTTTTACTGGATGAATGACAAGTTGTTGAGCTGAATAAAATCACAAAGAATGACAGAAAAGACAAAAACGACAAGATGTCCAGATGTATTGTTAGCTGCAAGAAAGGAGCAGGATGATTTTGTTAGAAAGTTTGGGTAGAGGTACAAGAGTTGATAAATAGGAAAAGTTAAAAATTAAATAATTAAAGATTTCTGTAAAAAAGATAATTTTACAATTGATGTTTTTGACTCCATCCAACCAAATATTCAAACTATATTACACACCTGTGCAACTCTTAAATCTTTTTATTCTGTGTTTTTTTTTTTTTTATTGAAATGAGCCACAGAAGCATCAGAACAAAAACACACAATGCATATTTTTTGGAGTAAATTTGAGTCTTGCCTCAAGACATCGGCAGCAGTTTTGGTCATGGCAAAGCTTCCGAGTTAGTGCGAAGCTTTGATTTGTGCTATGAGTACTCAAAATCAGCTGATTTATGAGCTAAACTGTAAAATGGAGGCGATTTGTGAGAATCGCAGGCCGCCTGCAACTTCTAGGACTCGCCAGCATGTTGGGATCGACCTTGAGGAAGGCTGATAACACGAATCACTGGAGTAGAATATCCATTAATCTGGCCAGGTTGGACCGGGAAAGTTCCAGCAGGACTCAAGGCTGACAAGAAAAATACAGACTTCCTGAAGAAAAACAACAATTGTGGCTTATCTGAGTCTGTGACTCCCCCGTTTGGCTTTGAATACGAGCCGACTATCAAACTTCTCCTGGGACATGGGTACCTAGGACAAAGCTTCAATTATCACAACCCCCCCCCCCCCACACACACACACACACAAGAACTTCTGTGCAGGCTCATCAGAACTGCCGGCTGAACAACAACATCAGGACTGTGGCCTATCTGAAAGTGCTCATGGACAAATAATGTCTTGACGTCAAATGCACATGTAATTGTGTTTATTAATGTGCTTGCCGGTAGTTTTTTTTTTATTTCCCAAATCGTGTCTTGATAGGACAAGATGTGAAGAGATCTTTTTTTGTAATACCACTATCCAACCTCATGGCTCTTACCTTTTTCTATCTAAAAGTATTCTGATAAAAATAAGGGGCCG